AGAAATAAAGAAAAACTGAACTCGCAAGGTTGAAGTCACCTATTATTTTTATTTTTTTATTATACGTGACAAAATTTATAATTCTTCATGGATTATTCTTATTTAGTGATGAAATTTGTTTTCTTCACTAATATATTTACCAAATCAACAACAAAGCTAGATTATAAGCTAAAAAAATTGTGAAGATTGAAAACCCATAAAATTTTTGAAACAACTCAATTAAATTGATGCAATATAAGAAAAAAAAATAGAGAAAAAAGAACCCGAGTTTGATGCAGAGAGTGGAGTCCTGTGTATACAATAAGGGCCAACGGTAGTGTAGGTGTTGAAGGTGGAGTCGTGAGGGCAAAGATCGATGACAAAGAGGTAACGTGCGTGTGTAAGAGAAGATAGAGAGAGAGATGATAGGCAATCACAAGCTACTACTGGAGTCACAAATCAAGGCACAAAATTCTGTAAGTCAAGAATCCTCTAATCCATCTGAGGGTTGTGCTGTGTGGAGTATCTAGGATTAGCAATTTTGGAAGTGTGCTGTGTTGATCTAATTGTGTTTGAATTTTGGTCTGCTATGGATGAATTATGGTCTGCCAAGGCTGAAGGCAATTGGTTCATGGGCTGTTTTGATTGGGAGGCTCATCAGTTTCAATGTTCTGGTTTTCGGCCTACTTTATGGTGGCTACAATCAGTTTGCCTTCTTAGACCCCAGGTTGAATCTTGCTGGAATTTTGTAGTATAATTCTGTTTCTGGGTTGGACTGTGCAGAGTTCAAAGCATTGAGTTCATATTTGAAGCATCTTAACAGCTGTTCAAGGCAAGGTGTTTGGTATGCTTTGTTTGAGCTGTGAGAATTCATGGCATATAGCTCAGACAATCTGTGCCTTTTTTGGTGTTTGTAATGACTAAGTTGTCTGTTTTTTCTGGTTTTTCTCTCTGTTGTGTTTTGCTCGTTGGTTTCTCACCAACTTGGAGGTTGGAGCTTGTTTTAGCTCCAAGCTTCACTTTATTGATGTAATTTTCCTTTTCCATCAATAAAGTTTTCTTTTGCCGATCAAAAAAAAAATATGATATCCAAATGGTGCCATGTGATTTGCTTATTAAGTACTCTGAAATTACTTTCTTGGTTTTGAGAGCTGAAGTAAAAAGAACTTTGCTTTTGAGACCACAAAGGCCCTTTAGTATAGTATTTGGATAGCTTTTTAAAAAAACAACAGATTTTGTAAAATGAATAGAGGGACAAGAAAAACTCGGATTTGGCATTGGAATTAAGAGCTAAATTTTTTGGAAGCAAAAATACAAAAATTTGCATTTAGTTGAAACAAATAGTTCTATTACCACCACCATCAATGGCCTAACCCTGATTTTTTCCTCATAATACTACAACCACCACCGTCGATGGCCCAACACCACTGCCAGCACCTAAAATGGTTGATTACTAGCACCACCATAGAGGTTATGAAACAGCCATACATGTCAATTTATATCAAAACTACCATTACCAGGATCACCATGACACATATGGAATACAACACATCACATCATTATTACCACTCTATCCCATACGACCACAGGCACTTCACTATTGACATACCCATCATATCTAGAACCACAGCAACCATCAAGGACTTATGACTACTATCCTTACAGTTACCATGATGGTTACAAACAAAGTCATGATTCTCTATTTGCAGTACAATCTCATTTTTGCATTGCAATCTACCAAATATTATTTTCAGCTTTTTCTTTGCAGACAAACAACAGCATAGCAAATATATGTTTATTTCTTAATTCATATATATACCTTCCAAAAGTTAATCCAATTGAAATATAAAACCAACAAGCACCTTAAACACCTCTTGGCTTAGAATTTTGGAAGATAATTATACAGGGATTTAAAATTATTAGTGAAACTTACTAGAAAAGGATTATGCCGATGACTATGAATGGCAATATATTAGCTATAACAACCACAAATAGCTGAGTCCTATTTAATGAGCAAGGAATCATTCAGATTATCTAAGGCAATGGCAAATCATTCATATACTTATATTAATGCTTCTCCCACATAAAACATATTCGGAAAGTGCAAAACAAAGAATAAAGAATAGGAAATACACTCGGCCGAGGTTCTGGGTTTTTCTGCAGCATGCTTTTGATGAGGGCCCGACTGGAAAACAGAAATAGAGCAAGGACGAGATGACACTAATTAAAGGCCACAATATACAAATAAGAACACAATTCGTCACAAGGAAAAATCTAAGCTGTGTTTGGTGTGGAGTTCTAATCATGACTTCACACTCATTTGAGTGTGGTGTTTGGATACAACTTTCAAAAATTAATTTCACACCTACTTTTGAAAATTTGTTCCAAGCGGGGTTTTGAATTTTGAAATTTGGCCTATCCGGCCGGTTGACTCCAGTGCTTTTTTTATGAGTTTTGAAGAGAATTTTGGGTTATGTGTTTAGTTATGAGTTGTGAGTTTTCGAATCACATATCATATGTCACATCAAAAATTCCAAACTCAATTCAAAACTCTTTTCAAAACTCATAATCAAACAAATTTTCTCTTCTCAAATCATAATTTCAAAACTCACAAACTTAAAATACAACTCTTTTCTCAAATCATAATTCTAAAACACTACCCTGAATTTTCATAGGCATAAAAAATTAGGATATTCATTCATCTTTTGTTATCTTCTTACACTATCTTATCTTTTCAATAAGTTGCCATACATCTACTCTAATGGTGTAAGGCACAAGAGTCCCCAAATACACAAACTAGAAGAACCAAGATATTGCATGAACAGCCACAACAATTACGTAACATAAGGAAAATGACTCACAATGCACTAGAGTATTTGGTTGGAAGTGGTGCCACAATTTTCACGACCCCATTCCGCCCCTAGTAGAATGGTGCAAGGATCAAAGATCTAGGACGTCTAGATGATAACACCTTGGAATAGATGATACACATCTCGGCCTAGGTGATGCACACCTCCACCTAGATGATGACATCTCGGCCAATGTGCCAGGGTGAAGGTGGAGGTCAACCAAAGTGGATTCCAAGATGGTCCTAGGTGTAAGAGGTTCAAGGGTGTGACCTAGGCTTAACGCACCAAGCATGGAACAAAGCATACCCAGTAATACACAGGTAAATCACACAAGCACAAAACAAGACAGGGACCTTTACTTAGGCAAAACAATTCAAAATCTACAAATGTAAGCCCATCAAGACAAAATCATGCAAATGTACATGAACGTGACTAAGACAAGAATGAGGGTCATTACAGTCTACCCCCCTTAAAGAAGTTTGGTCCCCAAACTTAAGTTACCTTGCCCCAAAACAAGTCCGGATGTCAGATTCTCATCTCTTCTTACCATCTTTAGCCTTTACCTTGGGACAATCCTTAATGTGATGCCCCATCTCACCGCACTCAAAGCATGCTCCAGATGCCCGATGACAAACTCCAAAATGTTGCTTCCCGCAACTTGTACATGTCGACCTAGTGACACTTTCCTGATTTGAGTTGCTTGAACTACCCACATTTACCTTCTTCTTGACATTGGACGGTGCTTGGCGATTGTCATAATCCTGCCTCTTTCTCTAATTCTCCCCTGAACTCTGACTTCTGTTCAAGTTAGCTTCTGCCAGGATGGCTTTATCTAACACTCCGACATAAGTCGACATGTTGAGCATATTAACCCGATCTTGTATTGGTCCCCGAAGTCCACTCTCAAACTTCCTAGCTTTCCTGTATTTGTTACTGACCATGTGAGGTGCATACCTTGCCAACTCAGTGAAAGCACGATCATATTCAGCCATTGTCCTGTTACACTGTGTCAAAGTCTGGAATTTTGTGGTCTTGCGATCTCGGACACTGAGGGGAAAATGTTTGTCATAAAACAACTCCAAAAATTTGGCCAAAGTCAAACCTAGATTGCCTTCTCGGATCATCATCCACCATCTTCGAGTGTCGTCATCCAATGTGAATGCTGCCAATGACACCTTCTGAGCGTCAGTGCTAGGAAAAATCTCGAACAACTTCTCCATCTCAAGAGCCCATGATTCTGCCTTCATTGGCTCTATACCTCCATGGAATGTCGGCGGATTCATCTTCTTAAATTCTTTAATCAAAGTCAATGTGTCGTCCCCATACAAAGCTGGCTGTGGAGGCACTTGCGGCACTGGAGGAGGTGGAGGCGGAACTGCATTTCGGCCGTTTGTCTGCTCGACCTAAGTAGAGGTAGTACTAGTGTTCAGTTGCCTTGTTCGCCTCAACTCATGGGCCAAACCCTCTACCATCCTTTCTAATCTGTCTAACCTGTCCCCGGATTGATCTCGGCTAACTGGAGGTCTACCCCTTCTCATGATGTTAGGAGTATGCAAAATGTGACTTTTTAAAACAAAATGATCAAATAGACATGTATGCAAGTAACAAATGATCATGCCGAGATGATGCACATCTTGTCAAGTAGCAAGCAATATGATGCAATCCTAACGTCATCCTAAGGGAGATCCTACGCTCTTTAAGACTCAAAGTGTGTGAATAACGTACTATAAGGAACTTGTGCTCTGATACTAACCTGTCACGACCCCATTCCGCCCCTAGTAGAATGGTGCCATGATGGCCAGTAATCCGAGATTACCAAAGGCCAACTTGCAAAGTCACACACAATTAGAGTATACATATGGGGCTTACATGCGCGGAAACAATAAATTTAAATCTAAGTAGTCCATAAGAGCTGTGCATAGATCAAATGAAATAACAAACATCTTCCCACGGTTTTACAACTTGAATACAAAACAACATAAAGTACATATTACATCTTGATCAAAAGGCTTCTCAACCCGAAATGTACAAAAGACATGAATTACAAACTAAGAAGCATAATCTTCAAGATGATACAAACATGAATCAAAACATCTTGCACATAACATCTTAGGCGTCACCGCCTTCTTGCAGGTCACCTACATATATATAAAAGGGAGGGTGAGCTTGGATACTCAGTGAATGATATAAGTAATAAAGGTTTGAATGAATGATATCCGAGATCTTTATCAAAACAATACATATCATATCTTGTACAAAACATGGGATGAATCAAGTTCATCAATCAAAGTCTTTCAAAGCTTCTTGGATGTTTAATAACATCTACATAATACCAAGGGATGACATTCCTGACAAAACAAAGGAATAACCATCCCGGAATCGAAGCACACCCGTTCATGACCGTCGGTGGCCAAGCCAGAATCAGTTAGACAACCCACCCGGAAAACCGTCGGTGGCAAAACAAAAAGCACCCGTTCAAGACCGTCGGTGGTACCATCCGTACATGACCGTCGATGGCAAAGAGATATCTCAAACAAAGGTGCTACATAGGCTTAACGTCCCCTAGCACGAAAGGACCTTCCAAGAATGTCATCAAAACAAACATAATACTTGACACAAAAATTAGAGGATAATCATTCATACTTGAACAAATACTTTTCCAAAACGAAACAAAGCAAAACTTTTATCAAAACATTGGAACATAACTTTATTAAAAATACCACTCACATAGCTCTTTGGGTGTAGGGCTTAAGGCAAGAATCCAAGACCTGCAAATACATAATAAAGTCCACTGAATGCACTTCAAGAAGACAAGAAGGAATGCTCAAAAATGGTTATGAAATGCACTTTCAAAACAAGCCTTACATGAGGGTAAAGATCCCATCATTTCTTTCCAAAACCAAGTCAAGACAAAGCAAAACATGTGCTGGGAGTTAAAACACTATTTTTCTTCTAGGGAAAACATGCTGGGTACCAACCAGGTCTTGGAATGGATGCACAGAGATGATCTAGGCAAAAATGGCCTAGCTGGGTGAACTCAGGGGGTCTTGGCCGAGGTCCCATACCTCTTGGCCGAGGTGTGGTCTCTAAGGCCTAGGTGTGCGGCTGCCTGCCAAGATGTTACAAGGTGCCGGCAAGGGTGTACCAAGGTCAGCCTAGGTGTGTGGTGGTTGGCCTAGGTGTGTGGTGGCCGGCCTAGGTGTGCATGCAAGATAGGCTAAAGTGCAAGTGATCATGCAAGGTAGGCCAAGGTGAAATAGGATGCTTGGCCTAGGTTTGAGATCTAGGCAAGAGTGGGTCTCAGTGACCACACTTAGGCAAATGAAGTCTGAAAATCTGGGTTTCCTCTTGAAGAACATGAAGAACATAAATGCTAAAATCATAACTTTTGTTCCAAAATCTGAGATTTCATGAGATGAGTTCAAAAACATGGACCTGGGTACCCGTACTTGGAGATTTCATGAAAACAAACACGAAAACATGGATCTTGATACAAACTTTCGGATCAAAACATGGTTTTTCTTCAAGAGCACATGAACATCACTTTCTCTTTCTAAAACAAACTTTAAATCAATGCATGGCTCATGAATCATGCTAGATCATGCAATGTGATCAGATTAATATAAAGAACAACAAGAGTAGATTAAGAATCTAACCTCAAAACACGGATCTGACGGTTCAAGGTGTAAAGATCAAGGTTGGAAATCTAGCTCTCTCTCTAAGCACTTATTTCTCTTCTTCCTAGAGCTTCTCTCTCTACAAGGCTAGGATATGACAAAATGATAAGGGTTTCTCAGCTAGAACCTGACTTAACCCTCTGCTGGGACACGTGGCAACGCCGGATTGGACCTCCTCAAAAAGGTGCCAGAATGAAAAGACAAGAGCATGACAAAATGTGTACAACAAGTGAGGTGGCTTGGGCACTCTGACAAGGCAATGATCTCGAATCAAGACATAGGCTTCGGCAAGTAAGGTCTCAATAATCTCGGCTAGGAAGGATAACACTTGACCTAGGTGTGCCACACCTTGGCCTAGATGTGCCACACCTTGGCCTAGGTCATACCAGTCCAGGAATAAGATCACTAGGTGCAAGGATCAAAGATCTAGGACGTCTAGATGATAACACCTCGGCCCAGATGATACACACTTCGGCCTAGATGATGACATCTCGGCCAATGTGCCAGGGTGAAGGTGGAGGTCAACCAAAGTGGATTCCAAGATAGTCCTAGGTGTAAGAGGTTCGAGGGTGTGACCTACGCTTAACACACCAAGCAAGGAACAAAGCATACCAGTAATACACAAGTAAATCACACAAGCACAAAACAAGATAGGGACCTTTACTTAGGCAAAACAATTCAAAATCTACAAATGCAAGCTCATCAAGACAAAATCATGCAGATGTACATGAACGTGACTGAGACGAGAATGTGGGTCATTACAACAATAGACTTATTTATTTTGTTGATCAGCGCTTGCATGTCCTATCCCAAAACCAAAAGCATAGCAATTTTATGTTGCTCAAAGTCAAACCATCCAGTGTATGGTATTTTCAATAATACTTGCCAAAAAGAATACCATGGGTTCAACAGTTTCTCAGAAAGAGCCAAAAGGAAATATAATAAAAGAGCTTTCATGAGTGCAGATCAATGATACCAGATGTTCAAAAGGCAATGTATCTATTTAATGGTTGTGTGGCCTAAGCCTCCACAAGTGAGGCTAGGACCGAGCCAAAAAAGCAAGATTTTATCCCAACCTCACCTCCACAAGACCAAACATTTTCACACAAACTGACAAAAGCAGAGCTAGCATTGGATGAGGGACAGCCCCACCCTCCCCCCCAACTTTTCAGAAATTACTGTTTGACACCAAAAAAAAAATTCAGAAATTACTGTTTGACCTATAGTTTTCAAAATGTCTACCAAGTCACACAACTTGTGAGTACTAAAGGCAGGCAACAAATCAACTCCCTCAACAAGGCAATAAGTTCACAACAGCACAATGTGCATACTCCCAAAAAATTAAACCACATATGACCAACAAGAGAGACAGAGTTCCCAAAACCGGATACAGAAATGAGCCTTCTTGTGTCACAAAATGGCAAAAATACTTGAGCCTCATTTTGTAAACTGCAATATATATTGCATTTAAAATCATGAATCATATTGTATATGACCCTACCACACGTATTGTTCACAAAGTTACATAGCAAAATAGCCATATCCATGGTCAGTTTTAATTATATTCAGTACCAACTAACAGAACATTTACCACAGGGCACTCGCAAGAAAGCTTTACCACATAATTTTGACATAAACAGATGAAACAGAGTTCTTGAAACTTACAAATGCTTTAAATGCAGGCATAGGAGAAGTCATTTCATATATACAACATCCTGATAATACAAGCATAAGATCCGTAAGTGTACATTCAGCTAGATAAACTACAAAATATGCCAAGTTGCAACTTGCATTCATGATTGCATTATCACTTATATATGTATTTATGTGATATTTGTGTATATACTTACCCATGGACCAAATGTCTGACTTAGAGCCATAAGGTATGACAGCAAGAAGCTCAGGGCACATATAACTTGGAGTTCCTACAACCTGGGTTACAAAAAAGAAATCTTGAACAATAAAATTAATGCAAAAGTTGAAACTTGAAAAATGAACCAGTTACGTTAACCACAAGACTTACGGAGGATGCAAGATCATCTGATGTCAACATCTTAGCAAGTCCAAAATCACCTGCAACAGGATTAATCAATGGTGATTCAGCAAAATACTGACACCTCTCAAGACTATTAAAGAAAGAAAACATATCACTTACCAAGGTGTATGTCTTGATCTTTTGCCAAGAATATATTTGAGCACTGCAAGAACAAGATTGTCAGTAACATGCAATTTCAGAAAGATAATTCATAAATCCTCAAGTATACAGATAGATGCAACTTACCTTAACATCTCGATGAAGAATATGATTCACATGTAAGTAGTCAAGAGCCATAAGCAATTGAACAAGCCATTTACACAGCTTCTATAAACAATTTAACATCAATGTATCAGTGAACAAAAAAATTGTAATCTGATACAAACTGAAAACTGCAGAACTGGGAAGTAGAATGCAGTACAATCTAGATTGCGACAACAGAAAAGAAAAACGAAACAAAATAAATGTGATACTAAGATACTAGAAATATAAAACAACCTCTTCTGAAAAAAGAACACCATTTGCTTTCTTTATAGCTTCTGCCCTGTAAAAAACAAAGTAGCAAAGAAGATGACATCATATAGATTGAATGTCAAGTTTCAGCCCAAGCAAATGGGTTAAGCCAAGTATTGTGGTTTTAGCAAGAAAAGTCACTTGCATGTCTCCTTGTTCACAATAACCAATAATGATGCATACATAGCAGCCCTGAGAGCCAAGACAACGAAATTGTCAATTGTAACATCCAAAAAATGACAGAGCATATGCGACTATTCTGAAGTGAATAGAAAAATTATTAAGAGAGCACAACTGGCCAAACAAAGCAACAGGTAAAGCAAAGTAAAAACTTTTAAAATTGGACCAGGTAAATTGGCATACAAGTAAACATGTCGATGTGAATCAAATATTTTCACTGCTGGCTTAAAACTACCCACCATCAGAACTTCTACTATTTCTGATTTTCTGCCTAGACCACCTTTCGCAAAATCATAATATCAGATCTACATAATGCAGAATACACACTGAAAAAATAAATAAAAGAGGAAAGTCACTGTAACATTTTTAATTCATGACATTGCTTAATTAGCTTCTCAAAACTTTCATAATCTAGGTGAGCAGAGGAAAACACATGTTGGATTCAGAGAACTACACAAAATAATATATATATATATATATAGAGAGAGAGAGAGAGAGAGAGAAAGAGAGAGAGAAGTATCCATAAATGATGGCACTTGAGTAGTAAAGTTTCATAATGTTAAGACCAATGATCAACTAGGTTAAACAATGAATCATATTAAAGCAATATCAACATGACAAGAAGGAAAGAACAAAAACAAATAGAATAGACATTCAGGTAGCCTATTAGACCATCAGAAATCAAAGGATGAAAGAAAATACCAATGGCAATCGAACAACATCAATAATAAGACATATAATATCTGCTGACCTTCTCTACCCAAGAATCTTTATACTCCACAATAAACGGATTCCTCATTTTGGCAATAAGCTCCATCTACATGGTGCAAGAAAAAGAAAAATATTAGTCTGTACTCTACTCTAGTAATCAGAGCATCCCCACCAAAGCCCCTAAACCCCCTCCTTACCTATTTTAAGGGGTAAATGGCTCCCTATCCACCTGCATCAGATCCCCTAAATGATCCCTTAAATTAGTTTTTGCTACAGTGACTCCCTATTTTTAGGGAGTCACTGTAGCTCCCTTATATATATATATATTTTGTTTAGGGACTGTGGTACAGATATATGATTTTTATTTTTTTAAAATTTATAATTAAAAATTATATTTTAATAAAAAAAAAATAGAGAGTTTGCTAATACAATAGAGAAAGAATAGGGAGTCTGTTGGGAGAAGTAAATGAAAAAGTGATTCCTAAAATAGGGAATGAATTTTTTAATAATATTTTAGGATAAAATTTAGGTAATCTGGTGGGGATGCTCTCAGACAATGTCCCAGATAAACACCACAGCAAAAGTTTAGGATGTAGCAAAACCAGCTAAAGTATAAATGTCTACATGCTAATTAATGATAATTAGTATGAGCAATTGTGTGCATAGCACTTAAATGCTCTTCATTTGACATTTAATTAATTCTCCAAGCATATTTTAGCTAGGTTTCTATATTTTATTGTAATAAATACACTAGTTTTGGTAGTTTTTATAAGTTAGTGAATTTAACTTCCCATGTTAGAGTATGTTCAAAATTTTTTTCACTTTTACAAAAGACAATTTAACATAAAGTTCTTCTTAATTATTGTTACACCAACCCTAATACATTTGACAAATGTTCAAAAGATCCAAAAAAACAAAAACTCACCTTAACCCAATTAAAAATAATAATAATATTATTATTAATAGCAAATTTTTCATTTCATTTTTTTTTTTTTTGTAATTCATTTCAAAAAGAATAATGACAATACAAAAGCAGAAATAATAAAGAAAAAAAAATTTACCAACCTCCTGGTGTGCACATCTACGGGTCTTATCAGTTTGGTGGGCAAGACGAATCTTTTTCAACACATACCTTAACATTTGGATAAGGGAAATGGTCAAACCAATTGCACATAAAAAAGTTTAATATATATATATATATATAAATAAAGCATGATTCATCTTTCCATCATTCATTAATATTTAATATAACACACAGATATATGGCTCGAAGACAACAATAGCAAAAGAAAAATATGTCACTATTATCCTCACTTCTTTTTTCATGCTTATGCCTCACAAGAACGGCAGAGCCAAAAGCCCCCTTCCCAATTTGCTCTAGTATTTCGTACTGCTCCATTTAGCAACTGATTAGTCTTCTACTAGGGTTAGAGCCCAAAATGCTTCAGTCCTATCACATATTTCCAAATTCCAACAACCTTAAGTTACAATCAAAAGCAAGAAAACCAACAAACTTTTCCACAGATTGAACACATAAGAATGATTTGAAAATGGTAGCAAAAGCAAGCTGTATTATTTGTGAGGTTACACAACAAATGCTTCTCCATCTAAGCCGACAATGTTTCTTGGACAAACTAAAAAGAATGCCAAGATTATAATAAAAGTGGGTAACCAAACAGAATATGATAAAACTAAATAGAACCCTGATTTTTTGTAACCAAATAGTGAAAGTTTATTACTGTTTAAGAACACTAGTTTCTTCTCAAAACCACGGAAATAAAACTAAAAGCGTTCAAATGTGTGTGTTTATATATTTATATATAGAGAGATGTATCTCTGCCACATTGCTCAAGTATAAGCGTTGATATAATCAAGCAAAATAATCAACCTAAGATTTTACTCAAGGTTGAGTACCAGAATGCAAGGATCAATATAACAGCACTAGAATTCAAATAACATTTCAAAAACATTTTTTAATAAATGCATAAATAAATAATTAACCTAAGATTACCCAAGGTTGAGTACAAGAATGCAAGGAGCACTAGACTTCAAATAACAGTTCAACTATATTTTCAATAAATGCATAAATGTTAAAATTAACTACAGCCAAAACTCATGAAGCAAGTGGAGAGAGAGAGAAGCAAAATATCTTACTAAAGAAGCGGTTACAGTCCACGAATTTCGAAGAGTTCAGAAAAAAAAACGTATAATTAAATCCAAAATCCAAAAACTAATAATAATAATAATAATGAGAGAAAGAGAAAGAAGAAAACAAAATGCCTCTTCGCAGCCAAAAAAAATATACATATTTAAATGATGCAATATTTGATAAATCAAGAAATTAAGCAAGAAACAGAATGAAAATAGCACAAAATTACACGTAAAATACTGAATCTCCGAGTAAAATCAGAAAATGGAAAATGCAGGACCAAAACACTGGAGAAATGAAAGCAGCAAAATTGAAGCAAAACTACATACACCGTTCCGAAATAGTTCACCAGTACAAAGAATAATCAAAAGATTTAAAAAAAAAAAAAAAAGGTTAAACATTCAACAGATTCACAGAAAAAACAAAAGAGAAAGGGGAAAAAATCACCTGGAAAATGTAAAAGTGTGGAAGCACAGAAATCACGACTGACGAGGTGTGTCCAAGAGAGAGAGAGAAAGCGCAATGCGGAGTTCGACATTCGAGCGCAAGCGACGAAGCTGTAACGTTGCAGGGGTAGAAGACAAAGTAGCTCTAGAGAGAGAGAGAGAAATATTTGAGACTCGTAAAAGAGGTGGTTAAACATTTTTTTTAAGATAATTATAAATACACTTTTGAACGTTACGTGAAATATGAATGGTCTGCTGTTTGAAACATTAAAAAATACTTCTTTATCAAATAAAATTAATTAAAAAAATAAAATTTTTAATTACATTTTTATACAAGGATAAAATTATTTTATTTATTAATTAAAATAATTATTTAATATCATTAAAAACTGTTAATTAACTTACTATTTTATTAATAAAAATGATAATTTGTTATGAAATTAGAATTTTTAAAGAACGGGATGTAATTTTCAAAATCGTAAATCGTATTTCAAACAAATCTCGATGTATTTGTAATTTATTAATATTGATTTATCGTAATTGTAAAGAAAATTAATACAAGTGTTTGGGGAAAGAAAAAAAAAATATTATTGACATGGTTTTAGTAAAAAGTATTTGAATAATGTTATATGTATCAATTATTATACATACTAGTATACTAACAGATAATGTGGTATTATTTATATGATTTTGGATATTTGTAAGTTGTATATTAAATGTGATTAATAATAATATCATAACAATAGATAGTAAGTGCATATAGCACCACTGAAAATATTTATGTAAAAGTAATAAATATTATAAATATTAATAATTAATAATGCAAATTTTTACATTAATATGTAATTATTTTTTAATAATCACCTAAATATTCTTAGCAAAAAGGAAAGTTATAAAATTGTGTTGTAAATTTTCAAATGTTTATTGTTAAACATTTTATTCTACTTACTTGTTTGTTTGCTTCCTTGCTTTGGGTGTTTTGATCTTTGGTCTTTGCTCCACATTCATCGTATTGTTTTATTTATTTATTTTTCTTCTTGCTTGATTTTTACATGATATTTCTTTCATAGTGCATCTCTGATTGTATTAGTAAAAATATCATACATTTAAAATGTAAAAAATTACAATATGTAGAAAAAAAAGGTAAATAATCGTCCAAAATTAAAACTACTTTAAGAAAAAAATAAAAAATAAAAACAAAAATGAAATTGTTTGAAATAGAAAATGATTTATTTATTTACTAATTAATTTTTAAAAATAAACTTTTAAATAAAACAAATAAAACTATATAAAAAATACAGAAACTAAACCTAAAATATAATACAAAAAATAAATGAATTATAGGATTTTCAAGAAGTGAGACTCACAAACAAATTTTTATAAAATCTTGTCTATTCATATATATTTTGTGTATTTTTTTGTACTTCTAATCCTGATAATGATATTGAAATAATTTGCACTTCTTGTATTAGGTCTATTTAATGGCTTTAGCAAGCACAGATGCAATAAATTTCATAACATAAAACACAAATAATTGTGATGTAAAAGCACCTTCACGTTCTAATTGGAAGTATAACCAGACAAATCGCTACAGAAGAGGAAGATAACCTTTATTTTTCATTACAACAATTACATAACTCAATGTATAATTTTAATGTCTCTTACTCTTTCACACGTCCAATTCTTTATCAATATTAGAATGAATACATGAACAAAAAAAAAAGAGGAAATATTTGAAAAGACAAAGAGATGTGGTTTGAGACCTTTTAATTGCTGAATTCTATTAATTAATAGTTAATAGGTTTCAATGGTTGAGCTTTTATTTTGTTAGTCATTAAAGCCGAGTTCTTTAATTTCATCTATATTCATTTGATAATTTGAGAGTGGACAAGTGTCAAGCCATTACACAAATACTTGACACATTTTTTTACTTTCTCTGGATATTTTTTTATTTTGCGTACTGCTTCAACGCTTGGGAGAAAAAAACGTCAAGGTTGGTTATGCTTCTCATAAGTGCCTCTGTGTTGCTTATGAGAATCTCAAGGCTTCTCAGGAAGAGTTCTTCAAGAATCGGAACAGTATTATAGAGCATCAATATGATTCGGAGCAGTTGAAGACCAGAGAGAATGAGGAAGACAATATCGCAAACAGAGGCTAATTGAGGTAATAGACATATATATATATATATATATTACGGAAGTGAGGTCTTAGTAGGTAGAGAGATAGGGAGTGTTGTATGGGTTCTATTGGGGAAAAGAAGAAATAGTTTTGGAAATTTACAGTTGGCAATTGCATCAGGAGAATTGAGATGCACTTGCTCATGTGATTCCCAGACTCCATCAGCTCTATCTAATGCAACTAAGCTCTCCATGTAAGTATACACATTTCTGTAGATGAGAATTTCTCTGGAAAGAATGAGAGATGAATTTCTGTGGGTTCAGCCCAGAGAAAATTCAAATTTCTCTAGGTTTATTTTCACCAATTTTCTCTGAGTTCAAATTCAAATTCAAAATTCTTTGGGTTCATTTATAAACCAGAGAAAATTCAAATTTCTCTGGATTTATTTTAACCAATTTTTTCTAGTTTATAAATTACTGTTCCATCTGATAATTTGCTTCCTCCATAAGACCCACCAAAGACCACAATAGGGGATTCATCAGAAGAATGATTCTTCTTCAAACTCCTAATCAAAACTACAAAATCAACCAATGCTTTGACTTCGTGTAAACAATTCAGTAGACAAACTTGCTTGTCCTGAGGAACTTGCAAACAATTCAGTAGACAAAAGCTTCCAAACAATTCAGTAGACAAACTTGCTTGTCCCGAGGAAGTTTCTTTGCCATCTCAATAGATGATCTCCATGTGGAACTAGAATTGTATCCCCTAACAAGAAGAAGATGATCACAAGCTTGTCGAAGGCGCATGAGCATCAACAAAATGTTAACATAATTTTGTTTGACAGTTCCAGTAGCTGCATATTCCTGATATAACATACCAATCTAGAAGTCAAAAGGACAGGTAATAAAAGAGGAAGACTAAGCATGCTTACAACATTAAAACAATAAAATGAGAGAACTTCAAAATTAGATGGTATTTTCAAAGAAACACACTGCAAACTGAGCTCAGGAATCAGCTTCTAGTCTGCAATAGAAATCCCGATCCTCCTATGAGAAATCCACTTTTTTCAATTCTACGTTGAATCATCATCATCATCACCGGTTGTCTTAGATACTGAATCGATCCTCGAATTGTCTTCTTCACATGGGTTCGTATCAGACTCAATCGACGAGGACAGCCACCCGCAACCTGGATCTGAAAGAGTCCATGGCTTGTTTCTCTACAAATCAGCTCCACGGCATCAAGAGAGGAGGACACACGAACATGATTACAGAGAGCTGTACACGGGCTCTCTCTCTCGGCTTAGAGAGAGAAAGGAGAGAGTACACATCAAGGAGAGACCCACACACCTAGACCATGCATGAGGAACGGGATGGAGAGGGCAACACAAAGAACGACCAGCTTCTCTCTCTATAATGGAGACATGCACACGGCAGACCAGCCTGTTGCTCGGACTCAGGACAACGTGGATGGAGAGGGGATGGGGTGAGGGACCTTAGACTACAAAAGAATAGATTGTGGACCTAATCCATTACTAAAAGTTTGATAGGGACCTTAGACCGATTTTCCCAATCAATAAATACTGAATTTTTTTTAAAAATAAAAAATAAAAAATTTAGAAAATTCAGATTGGGATATTGAAACTCCCATAGGCATTGGAGGTTAAAAACCTCATTTTGCTTAATATATAGTATAGATATATTAGCATATTGGAGCCTCCACCCGGCTTGTGAATTGTGATTTTAAAATGTTTTCTTTTCTTTTTTTTTAAATGTATTCTTTTTTTTCTTTTTTATATTAATTAAAGTTTAATATTTTGATAATAATCATATGTGTTGAAATTTTCAAGGAATTAAATTTCTTTTTTTTATTATATTATATTAAAGTTTAATATTTTAATAATAATCATATGTGTTGGAATTTTCAAGAAATTTTTTTTTATGCTTGTTCTTAATGCATTAAAGTGTTATTATGAGGGATAATAATCATATGTGTTGGGACTTTTCAAGGAATTCATATGTGTTGGATTTCAAAGAATTTTTTTTATACTTGTTCTTAATGCATTAAAGTGGTATTATG